AACCAGTCGCGGCCGGATTAACAGGAAAGGAGGCGTCAGCCCGGCTCTGTTGACTCCGCCCTCGTCAACCAATCGATTTCGAGCCGCAAGAGTGGGATTTCTGCTGTGATTGCGACTCCGCGTTCGTTTTCAATGGAGGGTTTTTCACTTTGGTTGATCGCGGACGCTGCCTTTAATAACGCCGCACTCATTTGAAGCATTGTCAGAAGGAGCGGAATGAGCCTGCCTCCAGTTTCCTTGCTCTACATTTCTTATCCCTAAGACGAAGTAGGCGTGGCATTTGAAATGGCATAGAGTGGGTTACTTATGGTACACTTTATTTGAAGACAACTGTCAACTTGCTCGGTGTTGGAGAGGGACATGCTACAATTGTGCAAAACTAAATTAACCCGCCTAAAGCACAGTAACGGTCACGTTTAGTTGAAGAGCTTAGCCACGTCTACCACAACTACGTCTACCACATCGACTGTACCAAATATGATAGGACAGTGATCGGTCCAGCAAGCAAAAAAAAGCATCTGTGAGAGGGTGGGCTCATTCTTTCCTTCTTGAAACTGCACCATCGATCAAGCGTAAGTACACTATGCCTACACGTGCTGTGAAGCATGCACTACAAAGAACAACAACTGGCTTGGGCGAATCACACGATACCATGCATTTGCCCAAGATAAAACGAAAAAGTTGCAGGAAATCGCCATCCTGCACCTAGGACTTACTGGCAAAAAGATATCAGGAACATGTTCAAATAAGACTCATTCGCCAAGCGTGAGGCTGAGAAGCAACCTGGAGCGCTTGTCACTTAGGACGCACTTTTTTGACATAAAAGAGTTCAGTTCTAGAAAAACGGAAAACCCATAATAAATGCAATGAATCCTGAGGATTTCAAAGTGCTTCGCTTGGGAGCTGAGCAAGATCCGAAACGAGTACATGTTAATCACAAAGGAGTTCCTATTTATTTTTCCTATTGGGAACATCTCCGCACTTTCGAAAGTAAACCTCCTCAAAGTTCTCTCCTTCACAGCGACCTGCGTATTAACAGCAGTTATCAAACAATAACAGCTTGAAACTTGTAAAAAGCCTTCAGCCTTGCGGTTCACTGCCGATATCGGCTAACCGGCTCATCACGTTGAACGTGTGAGTGCTCGAAGGCAATGGCACAAATAGCCATTGAGCTGAGAGGGTAAAAGTGGCCTCGGTAGCGTAATAGGGAACGCAACCGCCCGGGCAATTGGTAGATGCGGGTTCGAATCCCGTCTGTGATCCGGCTTTTGTCCACACCTTAGCACTTTTATGATGACCTTGCCTACCATCCTCCAAATTCAGGCGACGAGCGGAATTGGGGAGACACCTCCTAAAAAATTTCAAAAAATTCTAGTTCTCTGCGCCATTAGTGGCAGACTGTATTGTGCCGGAAACGGAGAAATTCAGCATCAAATATGACTCTCATATTCTTTTCCTGTTCTTTGCATCAGAATACTAGGCACTGTTTTGTTATGATAACTGCTGTTTAACGCCGCAGTACGCGTTCCGAATGTTATCACAAGAATGCTGAGTTGTGGGCAAAAGTCGTGCCCCAGGCGGGAGTGAGGTGCGGGTTCGACTCCCGCCTGGGGCACGACTTTTGCCCACAACTCAGCATTCTTGTGATAACATTCGGAACGCGTACTGCGGCGTTAAACAGCAGTTATCATAACATAATTTTCATTGTATTGGGAGTAATGTTAGAAGGAACTTC